GCGTGAGTGAGTGAGTGTGGCTCTCTGTGTCTGTGCATCTGTACAAGAAGTTTGGGACACGTATGAGCAGCTTTAAATATCAGTTGACTCAGTTTAACAAACGCTCAGAAGTAGTTTCATTCATCCACTTTTAATCTCAGGATTTAAAAAATAAAATGTCAAGATGGGGATTATGAAGACACCAACAGCCATCAGTGCTCCTGTTTCCTGCTTCTGGTCTGTTGCTGCAAAGTGGTGATGTGCATAATGTGTGTGTCTGTGTGTGTCTGTGTGTGTGGGGGGGGGGGTACAACAGCTCTTTTGATAGGCGACAGTGTATCCGGATCAGCTGTGCAGGAGATGCTGGGAGTCCTGCAGCTGTTGGTAGGAAGACCAGCAGAGAGAGAGTGTGTGTGTGTGTGTGTGTGTGTGTGTGTGTGTGTGTGTGTGTGTGCGTGTGTGTGTGTGATGAATGAGGAGATCTCCCCTATACAGCTCAGCCGGCCAATCAGCCAGCTCACGCTGACGTAAAAACACCTAAACAGAGGAGAGAAACAAAGATGGTTTATACCAGAAGAAGAGTGCCTCAGCTTGTTGTGTCTGCATCTTCTCTGCTCAGGCTGGAACTAGTCATTCAGTGTTCTAGTCGGGTTCAAACGAGAGAGTTTAAACATGTCACTCGAGTAATCCACACAGTGTAACACCGGACGAGTAAATCATTTGCATTTCACAAGATTTAGGGCAACTGTCATACAAATACAAAAATTTAACTAGAACTTTGTTGGGCCAAGCGACTTGTCATTTTGTATACTATGCTATGCTTGTTAGCAATTGACATACAGTATGCTCGTATCTTGTCTTTATTTGATCACCAGCACGTATAATCCATCAGTCTTTTGTTTCTTTTCTTCTTTGTTTTTTCTTCATTGATGAATTTTGATTTTAGATGTTTTTTTGGTGAGATTACTTTATATGGCCTTTGAGCACGTTTGATCCTTCTTACTCACGTCATGCATTACTACGTTAGTCGTGCAAATAAAAACACTAAACTTAAAGAGAGTCTCTTAACTCCCTGAATTTATTTTTGTAGCTCATATGTTCATCAGTTGAAGAATAATGTGGACACAGTGTCACACACGGTCAAACTATTATTGTTGTTGTTGTTGCTTCTGGAGGATGACACACTGATAAAACATGCATGCAGCTGAGTCTGACAGCTTTTTTTGAGAAGCCGCCAAACAATCTTTTAGTTATATTCTGTGAGGGAATACAGTGATTCGTGATCAACCAGATGATTGGTTTTAATCAAAAAGGCTCCTGATAAAGACACTCTTGAGAAGTCCTTTGTTGTGATTCTTATATTTTATAAGATATAAGAATCTTATTTCATCTCGTATTTTATTTTGGAAAATATCGTCGTAATCTTTAAGAGTTTTACTGCATAGAGAGATCGAGACAGGCGTGATGAGTACATCTTCCTCCTCTTCTGTCTCAGGGGTTTTTCTGTCCTTCACATTTCTGTGGGAGGCGTATGACACAGAGACTCTCTGACACGTGTCAATGTCTGAGTTCTTTGATCAGGTTTCCTTTAGACGCTTGCTGATCTTTCACAAACAGGAGAAACCGTTTCTGGCGTGTTTGCACAAGTTTACAATCTGTCTGCCTTTAGATGGATGATACCACGGACTCTGCGGCTAGATTTACTGGAGTTAAGTTTATTTTTGGACCTTCTTCGAAGAAGAAACAAATCAAGAGTCAAAGGTATCGATTGGACCTCTTGCAGCCAGAAGACTGGAATTTTATTATTCTGAATTTACTAACAATTGGCGCTGTTGAACAAGTAATGTGCTCTGTTCGTGTTTCATTTTTTGAATAATACATACTTTGTCAAAAATGAAACTTTCACATGTATTTACACATTTCTCTCTATATGTTTATGTCTTCTATTTGCCATTCTCTGAACACCACCACCCTTCTTATCTCATCCGTCTGCTCTCCTGTGTTTATTCTCTGGTTTCCCACAATTTACCATCTTAGGGGAATTCTTGAGATGCAATCAAACAGCTTGTCCTCTTTTCCCTGACAGTCAAAGTGCCGGTGAAGACCACAGAGTCTTTCTAATGATCAGTTATAAGGTTGGCTCTTTCTACTTGACAATAATTCAGTTATAAATGTTTATATGAGGTAAATTTGTCGCATATAGTTGCTAATACTGTTTTTTTGTATGTCATATGTGGATTTTTCATCTGGCAACCCAAAAGTTCTTCTTATTAACAGATGATCTATAAATGATGGATGAAGCATTAGTAGATCATTCATTGAGCGTTAATTAAGCCATTCGTTTAACTTATGAACTTATAAACCACAACAACTTTGGTTTAACAACACTTACGCTCAATGACAGATGGAGCACATGGCCAGGACACATGTATTCATGCTAATATACTGTCCACATCAGTACACTGAATACCAGAATAAGTCCCACAGACAGATCTAAAGCTGTAATGGACAGAAGACGGGACGACCTACAACACAGGATGGACGTATGAAGACTGCTGTATGATAAGACCCACGTGACGAAGGCTCACTCACTCCGACCTGCAGTGAAACCCTCCCAGGTGTGGGTCACTCACCATCTCTTCCTCATAAATACATATTTCCCTTTTCAACTGGATTTGATTCATCAAGTTTTATCAGTCCCTAAGTGGTGTTACAGACACAAAAGCTTGCTGCTTACTTGGCCATACAACAGCACAGGGACGGCACAGCAACAGTGAGTATAATAAAGATATCAGGGAGGCGTATGGGCAGCTCTTGAGTCTTACAGGACATTTAATGTGACATTTGTGTGTTAATGTTCTTATAAATCAACCTGAAGCTTGGTTCTACCTCCCTATGTGCTTCTGAGACAATATTGCACAGCTTCTTTCAAGCCATCATCGCCGTCATCGTGCCACATGCATTCTGCACCATGTGCAGTTTATGTTGCTGAGAGCGTTCATCAGACAAGTTTGTGCAGAGCTGGCGTAAAGATTCGTGCAACAGTTTTTACTCGGCAAACAACAGATACTGTGCTGCTGCCAGTGCACTTAACATGGCTTCTCACCGGTTTTAACAGACGACATCACAAAAACCCCCAATCCTGACTTCTCTCCACTGGCTCCCTGTTCGTTTTACAATAGATTTTAAGATTTTACTCATCACTTTTAAAGCACATATGGGTCTGGCCAAAATATGTAGAAGAAATGTTGACCCCCTTATGAGCCAGCTCGGAGCCTTCGATCCTCAGGTGGGGCCCTCCTGGCTGTTCCAAAGTCGAGGCTGAAAACCGTGCTTTCTCCATCAGGGCCCCTCGGCTCTGGAACCACCTGCCTGAGGAGATGAGGCTCTTTTATTTAATCTTATTTATTTATTCGTCGTTTTTTTTTTTTTCCATTTCATCTATTGTAATGTTTTATCCGTGTCTAACCTTAGTTGTCTTGCTTTGTTAGGCCTCACTGTTGAGCTTTCTGTTATTGTTATTGTCCCAGTGCGAAGTTTGTCTTGATAATCAATGTCTGCAGTATGAAAATCACTGCAAAAACGACAACAAATGCATTCATCCATCAACTAAACGAGCCCATGTTCATCAGGAAAAAGTGCACACATAGTACAATATATAACAGTCATTTGTGACAAGAAGACAGATAGGGCATTCACATATTTCAGCCTAGGTGTTGTTATACCGTTCTGTTCCCTCTTGGCAACACTTAATGATGAATGAGTTGACGTTGAGCTGATTCAGTGTGTTCAGTGATATGTGGGGCTGCAAGGTGTGAAATGCGGGACAGAAATGAACAAACCACAGTCTTAATTCATTACACTGGTGCATCGTCACTGCCTCCGTGGTGTCTGTATGCAAATTGGTATGGGTCTAACTGTGGGCCCTCCTCAGCCTGCTCACCATAATTCTTTCCATACATTTCATCACCACAAGGGTCAAAGCAACCGCTCTGAAATCATTATGTTCTTTAGAGCAGGTTTTTTTTGTGTGTGTGTGGGGGGGGGGGGGGGGTGCATGGGGAAGAAGAGCAGAAAGCCTGTATGCACCAGTGTAAT